GACCGAAGTATGCTCCGCAGCTGACCGCCGGCTTCTTTGAACAATTGGCTTACATTTCGGATCAACGTTCAAGCAATGTTGGGCCACTGATGGATTTACTCCCGGCATCTCATATGGAGACCATGCAAACACATCAATATTGCCGAGTAAAAAGGCTATCAATTCCTGCCTTTCGACATTATCCAAGGAAGCACCGATCATGAAGAACTTGTCAGGATTCCCATCAATTTCGACCCGATGCAAGGCTTTGGTTGCTTTGTCACTTGGGATCCTCCCAATGTCTTCAATACTCTCCCTATCTGGTGCCTCAATTGAATGCACTTCCAGTTCCCTCGGCCTCTTTGTAGCTAGAAGATTGCATGCTTGCGCCGATTTCTGAGAGTCGCGAATTTGTTCGATACCGTATTTAGTCGGAAAACGGAGTAGTTGGTGGTAGGTGCTTGGTACGGCTTGCATCGTATCTAACCAAGTTCTGTCCATGATCAGATTATACGGCGAAGAGAGCTTAACAACTAGAAATTCTACGTCTACTGATCTGCTTTCGGCTCGTACAGGTAGTGTGATCTTGCCCAACGGGTACTCTGGGTTAGCATTGAAGTCAAATAACGGGTAATCAGCCAGAGACAGGTCCGAATCGGTAAAACCAAGTTTGACAAAAGTTTTGTAATACATTATCTCCGAAGTGCTGCCCTGCTCAATGAGAACACACTTGATGGTCAATCTATTTACACGTAGCTCGATCATGAGGGGATTGGTGTGGGATGGGTCACTCCAACTAAATCACTGTCATCGAAACTAATCCTTCCAGTGTCGTGTGGTCGTTTCGCTGGCGTCATTGGGCTCTGGGTGCTAGACGACAACTGGATTGTGTGCACCTCAGATGATGCCGGCAAGTTGTATATCATATGAATCACACCAAGAAGGGGTGACTCTGGCCATAGAGCTACTGTATTTGTTAAATTGTTGTTTCGGACGTATTGCGTAAGTCAGCCATCTTGCACAAATTCTCCCAGGTGATCTTTTAAAGAAAAAAAACTATCGGTGTCGTGACCATGGTCTTTGTGATACTCATATTGTTTATCTTGTTTTCTCGCATCGGGGGGTCCCGTTACCTTGGGTGGCCACTTGAAGAACGGAAGGTGTTGTATTTTTCGATAGAATCTTATTGATCGGCTCTGTTAGCTCCGTGTATTTCTTGCCCGAATGCCTTGTCTGCCTGCTATCCACTTGATACTGTTCATTAGCCCGATGTGAACATTGGTCATTTGATCGGTGCGAATCATGCCTTTTGTCTCATTTAGGTCTATTCCGTCGCTTGGGGCTTCTTGACGGCACGACACTAATCGGCTGAACAATTCCCGCCATGGCTGACTCACGGCTTTACGTCCGGCTTTGACTCGAAGGGCATCGTCTTCCACTTTACAGTACTCTTCAACCTTTTTCATTAATGCCCAGACGGTTTTGGGGGGACGTCTAGTTAAAGAACTGCGGAGGGGGCTATCAGGATGCAATCCTATCTTAAAGGCGGTGATGGCTATGGAATCATTACAAGTTTCATCTACTAGATTAAAAGCACTCCCAATAGCAGGCCGAGTTTTCACGAATAGTTTCTTCCCGTTTAATTTGTATGGCCTAGAGAGAATCGGCTTGCTCCGACTGGACTTCATTAGTGATGAATCTCGCCCTGAATGACTTTTGGAGTTAGTAGAAGCTCTTAATCGATGCCGGCTCCAGTTTGTAGTACGACCTCACGGCCAGTGGTCCTAGACTACTTGGAAATATCCGATACATAAGGGCTTCGTCGTCAGCATGGAGCGTCATTGCTTGCTTATAATGACGAATATGATCGGTGGGGTCTGATTTTCCGTCGTAGAGGGTGAACGATAGTGCCTTGAACTTTTTGGGTAGCACAACCCTAACAATTCGTCGCACGAATGGGTCATGTTTATCTTCCTCATCCGAATCATCGTTTCTTCTTCGTCTGTGCCGTACATATAGACTTCTTTCAGACAAGCTGGATACATCAACGTGCCCTTTCTTTCTGGGCTCCGGGGATAGTGAGTTTGAATCACTATCATTATTGCGTTTTTGAAGTTGACGTCAACGACCATCCTTCTTTCCCAGAGGTCGATCTTGGTCTTGGCATGAGGTTTGTTGGGATTTCGCCACCTCTAAGGCCAAATCCTGGCATAGGCGCTCATTCTCAGCTATCATGTACTCCAGCCACTATTCATTTTGCTTTGCCTGATCCATAATCATCTGCATTGTCTCATGCATTATAGCTGAATGTGAGGTTTGAGCTACCGAGTCAAAGTTTAAGGCACGTCGCGCGACGATATTCTCCGGTCCCAACATGTTTCTTGGAGTGAGGTCATCTCTTGGTGTAGTTTCGTCAGCGACTATCAGAGGATCTTCCGTTACGCCCGCCATGGATGTACTTGAGTATTCCCATAGACAACACCAATTGTGGTGATATGGTTTGGAAATACTCTTGGATCCTGAAGGACGTTCCTGATCCTCTAATTGCCACCTGAAAGGGATTAACACGTTGGTCAGGGGTGCCGCAATTAGCACTCCGTCGGACAAGTTAGTATATGCCTCACGTTTGCTTATGTCTTAAGTTTCTTGGGGTTTTCTCTCACAGACCTTTCTTTGGCTAATGTTCCTCTATTTATATTCGCTTTTGGGCCTCAAGGTTGGGCCCACTTTTAAACCACCGTGTGATTGTTCACTCGGCTCCTCGCTCAACTGGTTCTATGGCCGATTAGGATGCTCGGCTTCCAGATGGCACAAGACGGGGCCGAATATAATATATATCTTGATTTTCCAAGTGTGTATTCGGCCTCTTTACATCCCCTAATATTCGGCTCCCACATATTTCATTATAGGTTAAAATATATATATACATATATATTAATTATAGCGAAGCGAAACGGTTTTGAACCGTGATTAGCGAATACAATGGTGTGGATTGATAATGATCGGTGCGATTTTAGCCGATTAAGCGGTATTTTATACCGTCCTAAAAAGAGTAATGTAATAATTTATAATGATATTTTGACTTTTAGCTACAAATCTTTTTTTCCAAATATAACCTCATAATGCAAGTGTAAAATATGGGGTGTTGTGAGAAATTGGTTAAAAGTAAACTTTTTGATTTTTTTGTCTTTTTATGGATGAAAAATATGAGAGATGATATAACTCAAAATAAGTTAAAAGTCAATTTTTGACTTTTAACCAGCTTGCCAAATGAACCCTATGTTAAAACTTAAAACTGAAGTACCCATTTGCAAACCCAATTAGTAACAGTAAGAAGAAAGGAGGAAAAAAAAAATGCAAACCAAAATTATTTAGACAGCGTTTGGTAACGTTTACGTTTTTAGTTTATATTTACAAAAATTTTATAAACTGATTTTTGTTTATTTTTAAAAAAACATAAATTACAAATGCGTTTGGTTTAGACAAAATGTTTAAAAAAAATTAAAAACTTAAACTAAAAAACGTGTTTGTTAAAGCCTAAAATATTTATATTTATTTTTTATTATTTATGACAATTCATACACATTATGTTTGGTGTAGCTGCTAAAAACAGATTATAGATTATAGCTTAACAAATTATAGATTATGACTTTAATCAGAAACTGTTAATCTGTTTGGTTTAGCTGTTGAATTATAGATTTAAGTTGCTGAGTAGTGTTTGTTAAATAAGCTGTGAAATAACTTTTTCAATTAACTTTTATTTTTTAGTATTCACTATTTGTCTACATTTCTCATAAATAATAATAATAATATTCTATAGTCCATTTGGGTATTTTTCTATTTTTAAAAAAATAAAAAATAAAAAAATCTAAGAGTATAACCGTGAATTAACATGTCCACAGCAGAAGTTGATAATCAGAAGCAAGGGGTGAGTAGTTTCTCAGAATCAGCTTTTTTGACTTAAAATAAATTGTTATAATCCCAAGCTGTTTGAAATAAGTTTAACCAAACAGTCAAAAATAACTTTTTAAAAGCCAGAAGCTATAAGTTGGCTAAAAAAAGTCCCACCAAACACCCCCTATAACAGGTTTCCTTCTCAGGTGGAACACACTATCTCTCTCTCTCCTCTCTTTCAAAATCTGTGCAATTACATATATCCATCGATATTCATGTCTCTCTCTCTATCTCTCTCTCTCTCTCCCTTTTTTTGTATTATTATTATCATTTTCAAACCTAAACACAACAATACAAATCCATCGAAATCCACAAATCCAATCCCAACTACTAAGAAAAACAAGATCGGATTGACTGAAGATTGAAGGATTGATCATTGATCATGTTGTGTTCGTCGTCGAGTAGGTCAGAGAAGAAAAATGAGGGGATTGAAAACAGATCTACAATAAATCTACAAAGAACCACCAATTGGGGATCAGAAGCTGAAGCTTTTTGTGAACCACACACACAGAGATAGAGATTAAGAGTAGAGAGAAGGAAGATAGACAGAGAGTGACCTAAGATCAATTTAGTTTAGGACATTTGCAACAAATTTGTTGTTTAGAAAGAAAAGAAACCAAAAAAAAAAAACAAAAATCATGGAAGCTTGGTCGACTTACCGTTGGAGAAAATAAATTGAAATGTGGCGCTCTGAAAATTCGAAATGTGGCCACTGAAATGTGGCGCTTCGTCACAATGGCTTTTGTTTTTGTGTTTACAAATTAATGAAAACACATTTTTTGAGTTTACATTTTTTTGGTCAAATTTACAAATTGAGAACTGTTATTATAAATTAAAAAATTTATCAAACAAATTTTTATGATAATTTTTTAAATTTTTATAAATATAAATTGAAAATTAAAAATCAAAAACAAAAAAGTTACCAAACAACCACTGTTCCTATCATTCTGTCTCATCTCTACAGAGGCCTCTGTCAAAAAATAAAAAAATAGAAAATATATACAGAGAATAGAAAAAAAATATATATACAGAGAATAGATGTATAATATTATGTGGAACCAAACAAACCCTTCCAGCGTCTGTTCTGCTCTCTCTCACACCGTCCCGTTCCGACCGTCGTTTAAAAACATTTCAGTCAGCCGACAATGCTCTCATCTACAAAAGAATATAGATACAAATGTAGTACTAATTCTCATTTTCACTACTATAAAATATTCAAAAGCATATGAGCCGTTACCGTACACCTCACTAATTAATTGCTCAGCTACCTCTCTCTGTCTCTCTCTCTCTCTCTCTCTCTCTCTCTAAATCAAATTCACATCTTGACTCCATAGCTCTACTCTACTTTTGTCACTTTCTCTCTAATCATGTGAAAAACTGGCTAGGTTGTAGGATTAGGGCTAGGGTTTTGAAAGATTCGGATTTGGAATCGATTAGATGGGCAACTGCTGTAGATCTCCGGCGGCGGTAGCCAGGGAGGACGTGAAATCGTCGAACTTCTCCGGCCATGGCGACGGCCGGAAGGAAAAGCCCGGCGTAGGCGGAGGCGGAGGGAAGAAGACTGTGACTGTGTTGAGTGATGTATCGAAGGAGAGCATTGAGGAGAAGTATATGGTGGATAGGGAGCTAGGGAGAGGCGAATTCGGAGTTACTTATTTGTGTATTGATCGGGAGACGAGAGAGTTGTTAGCGTGCAAGTCGATTTCGAAGAGGAAGCTTCGGACGGCGGTGGATGTGGACGATGTGAGGAGAGAGGTGGCGATTATGAAGCATCTGCCGAAGAATTCGAGTATTGTCAGCTTGAAAGAGGCGTGTGAGGATGATAATGCGGTTCATTTGGTGATGGAGTTGTGCGAAGGCGGCGAACTGTTCGATCGGATTGTTGCCCGTGGGCATTACACGGAGCGTGCTGCCGCGGCTGTGACGAGGACGATTGTGGAGGTTGTGCAGCTTTGTCATAAACATGGAGTGATCCATAGGGATTTGAAACCTGAGAACTTTTTGTTTGCAAATAAGAAGGAGAATTCGCCTTTGAAAGCCATTGATTTTGGCTTGTCAATCTTCTTTAAGCAAGGTGAGAATTGAACTATAAGGTACTCTGCTTAATTAAGTAAAATTTGTGTTTTGAGGCTAGGGTTAGTAGTGCATTATTATATCATTATTCGGAATTTAGATACTTAATGATGTTCCTTCTCTAGTTAAATGTGGCATAATAATAAAGATTTGCCTGGAAAGGTCCTTAATTTTTTTCTTTTTTTTTTTGGTTAAATAAGCATTTAAAAAAAGAAAAAAGAAAAAAAAGAAATTAGAGTCTTTGACTATTGTAATCCCTCTGTCAGTTGGTTTTCATTTTCATTAGAGCACATAGAATGCTGTTGTGGTCAGCTTCTCAATCTTTCTATTGAATTGAGAAGCTTCATAAGCAAAGGGTGAGGTTTGTTGATACAGTCTGCTGGCAATGACTTGTCCCAGGAACTTTTGTTTGTGTAGTAGATTTTGCAGAGATCTAAAGAAGCAATGGTCATACTGATTTATTTATGAGGTCATTCTTTTGAGTGCACGATATCAAACCCTAAAATTAATATGATCTTTGACTACAAATGTTTGTTGTAGACCCTCTGCCTTAGGAATGCACTTCTTTTTTTTTTATAAGCAGATGAATGTGCTTCAATTTGTTGGAACTAGAGATAGTTTGTGCTCACATTAGAACACATAGAATGGTTTTTTGGTCACCTTCTCACTTATTCATAAAAATTGAGAAGTTTCATAATCAGAGATGTTGGGCACCACTCCATTGACTTCTAGTTGTCTTGAAGGAGTACCACATTTTATTAGTCCATACAATGAGATGGAGTGTTTAAAATTCTAGCAAATGAGTGCATAGCATACCAAAATAAGCTACTGGTGCACCCCAGAAGGATTCAGTTTTTTAGTTAAAGCTTGATTATAGGGGTATTGTGGGCAACAATGTTTTTCATGTTTCAATACCTATGCACTAAGACATCAAAGACTGTGGAATGAAGCTAGTTATAAGAATAGATAAGTAAAAGAGAAAGTGGATTGGATGATACTTTTATCTCAGATTCTCATGTGAAGTACAAGATGGCCAATTTGAGTCATTCATTTGATGACTATAAAGCATTATAACATTCTCTACTTTTGATTATAGTAATTAGCCTAAACAATTGTAACTGTGTAACCACTACTAATTTTTGTTATGATCTAACTTAAGCTTCTCTTAAAGACTCCGTAGATGTTCTTCACATAGAAGTTAATTATATTCCTAAGATGCAAACTTTACCTTTTAAGTTATTGGCAAATAGAGCTGTAAAAGGAGCCTAGCAGCTCCTTAGTAATTCAGAATTTCGAACTCAAACTTGGGAAATGTTTTTCTTAGCTCTTTAGTGAAGCTATTCAAGATGATTATGAGCTGAGGTCTAAGCTCATTTAACAGTTGAGCTGAGCTTGACAAGGGAGTTTGCCTTGGAGAAACTTGACTCAGTGGCAACATGAAATTTTTTAAGCCTCTTTTTATTATTAAGATCATGAAACAAGAAACTGATAAAACTTGTATGAGTCATTAATGATGTGAAGTATTCATTCCCAGGCCAACATTAGTTCATGTCCCCATTCTGGTTGATAGTAGGGATATTAGGCAGGGGAGGGGTTCATTTCAATTTGAGAATATGTTGTTGCAAATTGAGGGTTATAGAGAAAAGGTTGGGAATTGGTGGAATGGTTATCATGTGGACTGTAGGCCGAGCTTTATTTTGGTGAAAAAAGAAGCAATTATTGACTGAAGATTTGAGAAAGTGGAATAAAGAGGAGTTTGAAGGTTAGAGGTTGAAAAAGCTAGAATTTTGGGAGAGATTTGTTGGTTTGATGAGCTTGAAGGTAGGTGATTAGGACACTCACTTCTTCTATCAAATGTCTAATGGTTTGCAAAATCATGATTGGGGATACAAAGTTGTTAGGGAGGGAGGATGTCTAGCAAGGAGTTGCAAATTTTATGAGGGGTTATATTTGGAGGCAGGGGAGAGATTTCCAAGGTTTGATGGGATGGACTTTACCACAATCTCAACAATGGAGGAGGTTTGGTTGGAAAGGATTGAAGAGGAGGTGGTTATAGCCTCAAAGCACGTAATGGTGATAAGGCCTCAACCTCGAACGGGATAACTTTGGCAAACTTTTCAATGATGTTGGGAAGTGGTTAAGGAGGAGGTGATGGACATGATGCATTTTTTATTTTTATTTTTCATGAATGGTGAGTTCGAAGAATTTAAATGCCTCATTTGTAGCATTGCTCCCAAAGAAAGGAGTGGCAGCGGATATGAGGGATTTCGAACCCACTAATTAAGTGTTGGCCTTGTGATTGAAGAGTGTACTTGATAGGATTCTTTTGAAGTCTCAATATGTTTTGTGGTGAGAAAGCATATTTTGGTAGCAAATGAGAGTACAGTCTCTAGTTTGAGAATTGAGGTCCTTGAAGTGGTGGGAAAACTTGACATAGAGAAGACAAATGCTCATGTGTACTGGGACTTTTATCTATATGTAATGGACATGATGGTAAATAGTGCTCCGTTTCGTATTCAGTGTAATATTCCATCTTTGCTTCGAAAGGCATGGGTGGTAATGTTTTTTCGGTTAGGAGAGAATTTTCCTTTTTACATCATATTCTTTTATGGATGTTTTAGAGAGTTGTATATCCTTGTTAATATATTATAATTCCTCTCTTTGCAAATACAACACATGTTGCCTAAAGGAGCCTCAACCAAGGCTTCTTAATGCCATTCTTTGGACACCCTTTATGTGAACAAGCAAAAACATTCACTCACTTATGGTCTAACCTAGACATCACCCATGGTACACCAAACACTCAGAATAATGAGCCTAGATCTGATAAGCAATGCACAGTGTAGCAAAATATGGTTCAATGACTCTCTTTAGCACTTGCACATATAACACCAGTCCATCAGGAACGTATACTTTCTGAAATTATCAATAGTAAGAATAACCTTCCTAATTGTTGGCCAAGCAAAGAATGAAACCTTTGGGTGCCACACTTACTTTGAAAGAAAATTTTGATGACTCTTTGATAGAAGGATGCCACTGTGAATGTACCACTTGAAGTTCTTGCTCCAAATAAAAGAATCCTTGACATCTAATTGGATAGAATATCTCAAGTGTAATTCGAGCAACTCCACATCCAATTCGACCTCCCGATTTTGTAATGACTGGATAAATAATGGTGTCCATACCACAACTCCTGATTTATGTGGGATGTGGTCTGAGCATTAAAAAGGTTATTTTTAATCTCACTCTATTGAGCAAGTGGTTGTGGATGTTGGCATGTCCGTATGATGATGGTGGAGAAGGTTGCTGGCTTTGAAGTATTGGTGTGCTTGGGGGGATTAGACCTCATCAGTGATGTTATGTCTTATGGAACAGGTCTTTGGAAAGGGATTCAAAAAGGAGTGTCCATTTTATATGTAAGACACACCTATCCTGCTGGATCACTCACAATCAAACGCAAAACCCCAAAGAAGAATCTTTCTTTTGCCATGCTTCCAATCTGCTGAAAAACTACAAGCGCCCTTATGTTTTCCAGCAGGCTAGCGCGCCCCTAAACTACAAGGGACAAGGTGGGGGTGAAGTTATGGCTTCATGTTTAGTGTGGGGAGAGAGGTTGAAGACATTTTCTCTTCCATTTCTCATATTGTAGCAAATAAGGAATTAAAAGGATACTACGTAGTTGAGTATTTGGAAAGTGAGGGTCAATGATTCTTTTTTCTATATTTTGTTGCCTAGATTCAAGATCAACTATGACAAGCTAAAAGGTACTAACTACTTAGGCAGATTGTTTTGAAGCAAAATTTGTAGGTGTCACTTGCTAGATGGATAGAGATGACCATTGTACAGATGGTAGTTCATTTAAAAACTCTCCGGTTACGTAAGAGCATGGATGTGGACACGGATGCTATACATTACGGACATGTTGGCACAACAATTGAAAAAAAAGAAAAAAAGAAGACATGACACGATCGGGAGTCTAGGGATACTACATGACAATAAATAAATACACATTATATGTATGCATGAAAATGATATTTTTTTCTTCGTTTTTTATGTTACAAATATATTTATCATTAAAATAATAAGAAATCATTTTGCACATTTTATATGTTGGTATAGAAAGTGTGAACAAGAAGCCCTAATATTTTTCGTCAAAGGCTCTATTTCCAAACAAATTGAAAGTTAGGCTCCTGGCTTCTTAAATTTGGAAAAGGCTGAAGGAGGGATCTACATTACTTTGATTTTAACTATTAGCTTCGAAGTTATTTCAAGTGTCAGATGTTTGTCTTGTTCTAAAAAGATTAAAAAAATAATATCACATTTGGATGCATGTTCAACACACATGCCAGGGTGTGTATGAGGAGTGTTAGTGTCTGACACAAACACACGACACCTTCTTTGAAGTGTCCATGCTTCTTAACTAGTGACATTTAATGTCGTGCTATATTTTTGAACTGAATACATTCATACGGTGGCTAGACCACGTTTTATTATTTAACTGCAAAACTATGTTGCTAGAGTACTATTTTCTCCCCCCTGAACTTTGATACATGCTATTCTGAAATCGTTTCAATGATCAACAACATGGCAAGACAAAAGGAGCTACTTGGGTGACTTGTACTAAAGCACCTTAAATTTGTACTCATTATTGGCTGGCTGGCTGGCATTGAGATAATGAATGTATTCACTCTAGTTAGTTTGAAAACTCTGGTGACATTTGAATGCTCTACTGATTTTTGCATTGTATATATGCCTTGAGCACCAAATCCATGTTTTAATTTGGCTTAGGTGAGTTTGATACTCACAAAAGGGCTAGTATTGCTATAGTCTTACAACAACTAGCAAATTGTTTCTGAATACATAATTTGGTAACAGTTCTGTTACTTCTGTTGTATAAGATCTTACCATCATACTCCCTATCCTGCAAGAATAGCATAACAATTCAACAATTTAATGTGGGTTCTATTGATTTTTTACTCTCTTGAGATTTAGCTACAACATGTGAGTCAGCATGGTTTATGCAAGTCAATAGTCTTTACCTCGTGACTTATCAAATAATTTTCTCACACTTACACCTGTTTATACATGCAGGCCATATCACATGTGTACTAATAAAAACAAACATAAAACTAGTGGTTGTCCCCTGTTCATTGCCACATTGATTCAATTTATTGTTAAAATATGGCATTTTTCTTGATTTATGGGTAGTGAGATGCTTGCAAATGAACAATTGGGAGCGTGAAACTGAATAATTTGATATTTCTTTATTTATTTATTTTTTTGCACTTCTGCTTTATGTCTAAATTTTTGAGTTTTTGTTAGGTGAAAAGTTCTCTGAAATTGTTGGAAGTCCATATTACATGGCTCCGGAGGTGCTCAAGCGGAACTATGGACCAGAAATAGATATATGGAGTGCAGGAGTAATACTCTACATTTTATTGTGTGGTGTTCCTCCATTTTGGGCAGGTAAATATATTTTTACATAATCTCTGTGTGTGTGTGTGTACACGTTTGTAGGTGCACACATGCATGTGTGTGTGTTTGACAAGGGTGCTTGTGTTGGCATATTTATGTTGTTCAAGTTTTTTGTTTCATGGGAGCACATCTTGTCATTTCATCTCCTTCACATGTTTCTAAATGTGACACTTAATTTTGTCCTCTCCTGCCAGTAGAAATTCTCTCCCATATAGCTAAAGCTAGATTTCCCATGCAGAATCTGAACAAGGGGTTGCACAAGCCATTCTTCGTGGGATAATAGATTTCAAACGGGAACCATGGCCAAATATTTCAGAGAGTGCTAAGAGTCTGGTTCGTCAAATGTTGGAGCCTGATCCAAAGGTTCGACTAACTGCAAAGCAAGTCCTCGGTATGTTATCCCTTGTTTGTGCTTGCATATTGAAGGATATATTGTATCTTGGAAATTTTGTACTAGTAAATATTTTGTACCCTTTTTCTGGCACTCTCTTGATGTTGAGGAAGACTTTTGCTATAGGAAAAAAATAGATAGACCCATTAGCTAATGAGAATGAGAATAGCACAAAATCCAAAAATAGAGTGCTACTATCGGTAGATTTCAATATTAATTTTGACTTATATTACATGTTACAGTTTTACGTAATGGAGTGCTACTATGTTTGGTTCCCCCCCCCCCCCCCCCCCCCCAAAATAAAAATAAAATAAAATACTAAAAATTAATTTAGTGAAAAGTTATGAAAGTTTCAAAAACATTAATGGTTTCCTTTTCTTTTTTTCTTTTTTTCTTTTTGGGTGCAAAAATTGTTTTTGAAAATTAAAAAACATCTATTTGGTATTTATTTTCTCCAAAGTAAGTATTTTTTCAAAAAATAGATTCTGAAAACACACCAAACTGAATTGGATGATCAAAATAGCAGTGCATATTTTTTTATGGTTGCTTGTTTTTTTGTTTTAATAGTTGAATGAATCTTGATGTTCTCTTGTCAAAAAAAAAAAAAAAATTTTTTTTTTTTTGATCTGGAGGAATAGTAGGCAAATGCCTTTAAAATAGCACATGATAGTGCAAGATTTTTCATCAATTATATCAAGGTCATTATATTACGCATCCCATATTTTGTCTCTTTCAGTCCTCCGAAACGAACATGGATTTGATAGGATTTTGTGGCATTAATAATCCTAGGAATGAATACTAATCTTATCTTATTTAGTCTGCCTAAACAAACATGACCTAAAATATCCGTTGGTTTTGGACAAAGACCCTGTTTGGTAGGGCTTATTTCCAGCTTATTTCAGCTTTTAGCTTAATTTAAATTATTTTGATGTGTTTGGTTCAGCTTAACAATATGGCCTATAGCTTTTTGTAAGTCAAAAATCAACTTATTCTTTGAGTGGGGGAGGAGAAGCTTAATTTATAAGTAAAAAATTAGCTTATGTTCACAGCTATAAGGTATAAGCTGTTAGGGTATAAGTTGTAATAACTTTCCCACAGCTCTACCAAACGGGGCCAAAGAGATTAGTATATTGTCACATATATATTTAAGACATTAAGCACAACTTGATGGATCTAATAGTTGATTCCAAATGATAGAATGCTTCTATTTAACCTAGTATACTTGCTTTAAGATATAATGAATGTTGTGGATGGAGTTATACCCACGAAATGAGAGTTGCATCAAAAGAATGAAAAGAATTAGTTGGCTTTCCTATGAATGAGGTAGAATCCATGTATATATAATAGATTCATGATACAATTTAGAAAATGATATAAATAAGGAAACAATATTAAATCAGTGATTGACACAATCATAAATTATATACGTAATACTAAAAATGAAAAGATTCTATGTACTCTAATTTCTATATTCAACACTCCCTCTCAAGCTGATGTGAAGATATTCAACAATCGCAGCTTGCTAATGGATGACTGGAAGAAGCCGTAAAAAACTTAACGGCTAGTCCAAATAAATGCTACCCAACAAATCTGGTAGTTCACTAAATAAAAAAGATTAAAAAGTGCTTAATACATCAACACCACACCCTAGAAAGGAAAAAAAAAGGGGAACTAAACTGCCTTAGAAAAGCTATCGATGCATCTATGGCCAAGAAACACCTTGGTCGGCAGCCAACAAGACCTTGATTAGCATTAGAGGCCGGAGCTAATGCCGAAAGACAGTTTATTGGTCGTGCCAGACCGTTGTAGAAATTGGTCAGAATTAATGTCAAGATAGTTTAAGGTCATGTTGGACCGTTGTAGGAATTGACCGGAATCAATGTTGGGACAGTTTGCGGAGTCATGCCGGACCGTTGTAGGAACTAACCGAAATCAATGTCAGGACAGTTTAAGGGTCCATGTCGGATTGTTGTAGAGACTAACCTGAATTAATGTAGAGACAGTTTGAAGGGGTCATGTCGGACCGATGTGGAGAACCGGATGTTGAACTAGCAAGTGTGGTGCACACATAACTTATGACGTGGTACTGAACGATGATGGCAACAGATGATTGAGTGCACCAAGAGGTGGCTTATTAGAAAGTGTGCTAGGGGGCGGCTTTGGTGGTGCGCTAGAGGGGGCGGCTTTAGTTGTGCGTCAGGGGGGGCAACTTAGGTGGTGCGCCAAGGGGCGACTTGGGTTGTGTGCTAGAGGAGCGGCTTATTAGAATGTGCGCTAGGGGGTGGCTTGGGTGGTTCACATGGTATATCACCATACTTACCATGGTATAGGTATAATACCTCAAATAGGTTTGAAAATAAAAACTTATTTGAGGTTGAAATAGAGGGAAATACAAAGTGGAACAGAAACATATAAAAAATGGATTGTGAGAAAAAAATATGATAGAGATATTTGGAATAAGAATAAACTAGTGGATAGAAGAAGAGATCACCACGAAGTGATACTGAAAGAAAATATGGTAGTGGAATGAGTTGAGATTTGGCGGGCAGCCAAGTGTCACGGACTTGGCTGTTTCTAGGGCTGCAAACGAGCCGAGCCGAGCTTTAGTGTGTTTGGGCTTGTTTATTAAGATTTTAACGAGCTCGAGCAGAATAAAAATTTAACAAACCAAGCTCGAGCCGAGTTGGCTTAAGCTCGACTCGAGCTCGAGCCTGTTCACGAACCTTAACGAGCTAAAAAATTTATAAATTCATACTTGCATGTGAGACTAAAGTTACAATTAAAACTTTGATTATACAATTATATATACAATATATATAAACATACTAAAAAGAAATTCATATTTTACTAAAATAATAATATCTACTACCACTATTATATAAATGTACTATCTATAGTTAAGTATTATTTACACTTATATTTTTTAAACATATAAATAACATATTTCTCTTATTTTTTATACATAATTTTATATTATTTAATATATAAATAATAAATATTAAACGAGCCAACTAATGAGCCGAGCTTTAGAATGTTTGAGCTTGTTTATTAAAAATTTAACGAGCTCGAGCTCGAAAGACAAAAAAAATTAACGAACCGAGTTCGAACGAGCTCTTACCGAGCCGAGCTCGAGCTTGTTCACGAACGGCTCTGTTCATTTGCAGCCCTAGTTGTTTCCAAGCTAACCGTGCGGCACTTAGACAATATCAAGTCTCACTTGATGATGCTAAGTCAGCCTAACTCACACACTTGCAGGAAAGAGAGGAACACGAAGAGAGTTTGAGAGAATGCTTTTGTATTCACACTTGAGAGAAAGCTTACAACTCTTAGTAGTTGGATCTACTTGGGTATTTGGGTATTTTGCCAAATGAGGGCCTTCCCCTTTTATAGGCTACAAATGAACATTCTAGAACTACTAGGGTGGAGAGTGTTTTAGACACTTCCTCCTTCTACATCTACTAGACTATTCTAGATCTACATGGATGGAGGGGATTCTAGATCCTTCCCTCATCCTATCAAAGAGCCTACTCTAGAGTTATATTCAACCTTAATGTCTACAATGCTCTATATTGTTATAGAGTCTTCTAGGCAATGCTCCTATAGCCTTTCTTCTTGTAGCCATTCTAGAGAGTTCCAGAACCCTCTAGCATCCTTTATGGTCTTCATACTTTCTCAAGTCTTCCAGGAGCTTCCAAGCCATTTCAATAGTCTCCTTTTCTTGAGATTTCCTCTTGTTGGACAATTTGGTCTGGTCAAGTTGGCGGGTCGTGACATTCTCCCCCACCTATGCTCGCGACGCCCTCGTCGCGTCTCCTTCCTCGAAGTCATAGGCTTTCTCCTTGACTTACGCCTTCTTGGTTTTGCCTGGTCTGCTGTCTTAACTGTGCATATTGGTGGTTTTTCTTTTATGGACCCAATCGCCTTCTTGGTAGCGCCTTCTACCTTGTTCCTGTCCGTCCCCAACTTCATAGCTAATGGGAGTTGGAGTTTAGCATTTACCTTGCTTTCTGTTGACACCGTGTAAGGCCTACCCTCCATGATGCACCTAGTGTTGTTGCGAGGTAACTGTGCCATGTTGAACTCTCGCGATAACTCCATCTCCAGCACCACGCCACAGTCATTGACTTTTTCGCGCCACTCACCAAGGTGCAGCTCAACCCCTTGAGCCATGCCATCTTCGGGCTTTACCTTGGTGTTTTCCACCTTCATCAATCCTTGACCCCCGTCAAGGTTCAGACCACCCTTCTTGGCCTCTTCCGCATTAATGAAGTTGTACGACGCTCCGGTGTCAACCATGACTTGGGTTGCCTCCCCATCGACCTTGTCATCCTTGTACATTAAACCCTCATCCCCTTGGGTTAATGTAGTAGGCTTTGACTTGGTAGCACCAAGTTGCTGTAGAGATCCCATGCATGCTTGTTCTTCCTTTTCTAGTTCTTCCAGCATTGCAGTGAGACTCCTCCTCTTACGACAATCCCTTGCCCAATGTAGTTCATGACAAAAGAAGCAGTCATGCCTGGGCTTCATATCCTTCCTCCAATCTTTGCCCAGTGTTGGCTTGCCTCCAGCTTCTCCGCTTCTTGGAACCTTAGAATCCTTAGCCTCCTTGGCCCATTTGCCTAAATCAGCCGCAATCTCCTTTCCGCGGTTCTCTTCCGTGCTAACAATCTCCAACATGGTGCACTTCCGTCCTTAAGTCACGACGCCTTCGTAACTTTTGGCTCTGATACCAACTGTCACGGACTTGGTTGTTTCCAAGCTAACCGTGCGGCACTTAGACAATATCAAGTCTCACTTGATGATGCTAAGTCAGCCTAACTCACACACTTGCAGGAAAGAGAAGAACACAAAGAGAGTTTGAGAGAATGCTTTTGTATTCACACTTGAGAGAAAGCTTACAACTCTTGGTGGTTGGATCTACTTGGGTCTACTTGGGTATTTGGGTATTTTGCCAAATGAGGGCCTTTCCCTTTTATAGGCTACAAATGAACATTCTAGAACTACTAGGGTGGAGAGTGTTCTAGACACTTCCTCCTTCTACATCTGCTAGACTATTCTAGATCTACATGGATGGAGGGGATTCTAGATCCTTCCCTCATCCTATCAAAGAGCCTACTCTAGAGTTATATACAACCTTAATGTCTACAATGCTCTATATTGTTCTAGAGTCTTCTAGACAATGCTCCCGTAGCCTCTCTTCTTGTAGCCATTCTAGAGAGTTCCAGAACCCTCTAGCATCCTTTATGGTCTTCATATTTTCTCAAGTCTTCCAGGAGCTTCCAAGCCATTTCAATAGTCTCCTTTTCTTGAGATTTTCTCTTGTTGGACAATTTGGTCTGGTCAAGTTGGCGGGTCGTGACACAAGGCAAGGCAAGGCAAGGCTGCAGCCCGTCGGTGAAGCAAAATTACTAGGTACTTAACCTAGCTTTAATATAAAAAAGAATGAAAGGAATTATTTGGCTTTCCCATAAATGAGGTAGAGGCCATGTATATATAATAGGTTCATGATATAATTTAGGAAACGATACTAAATCATTGATTGACACAATTACAGATTATATACATAATACTAAAAATAAAAAGATTCTATGTACTCTAATTTCTATATTCAACAGCATCCAATTGTATTGTAAATTTGTAGTAGGCTTCATGTCAATCTTTTCTATGGAATTTGAAGTTGCAATTTTGTATGTTTCTTGTGTCTTGCCTCACCTCAATTTCTTTCTCCTCACAGAGCATCCTTGGCTTCTAAATGCCAAAAAAGCCCCAAATGTTCCTCTTGGCGATGTTGTCAAGTCGAGACTCAAGCAGTTCTCAATGATGAATAGGTTCAAGAGAAAGGCCCTGAGGGTTGGTTAATTATCTGCCCCATTGTATTGTTTCTATGACACAATAGTTCAAGAAACATTGTAATTGAACTTCCATTTGTAGGTTATTGCCGATTTCTTCTCCGTTGAAGAAGTTGAGGACATCAAGGAAATGTTCAGAAAGATAGACACTGATAACGACGGTATTGTGTCCATTGAAGAATTGAAAGGTGGTCTTCAAAAGTTTGGTTCGCATCTTGCCGAATCTGAAGTACAGATGCTTGTTGAAGCTGTAAGTTATACTCAACAACTATGTCTAACAGCTGGTTTACGTTTGTTTCTGTTATAGTTTTGTATTCATCTTTTGTTGTTTGCTTTGAAATTCTGTTAGAATTTCTTGTGTGGTCATCATATAAGAATATTGACACATTGGTCAGCATGTGTAATTTCATAATAAAAAAGTATACATCATGTGATATGCCCATAACATTATCTGAGATTGATCTTTTAGTGGATTCCACTGAGTTGTTTGACTAATCAAATTAATTGAACCAGCCTAATAATTTGATCTAACCATCTAAACTATTCCATCAATCTACCTTCTACCCTTATTTATTGATGTAGCAATGTAGCATTAATCAGATTTTGTTAAACATGGGAAAGAGTAGAATAGAGAAGATGCGTAGAGAAATGAAATTGAGAATCAAGAAGAGAAGGGTCAAGTCGGAGAGGGAGGTAATGACAAGGACGAGGAGCAAAATATCTCAGAATCAAATCTGAATTTTATCTCTCTTTGTGGATTCATTTACAGCAACAAAAATCATAAAGACACATTGATATTGAATCTAGTGTAACTAAAACTGTGTCATTTAAGTCTCTAAAGTGCTAATAGACGGAGCAAGATTAAATCAAAATCTCCTAACAAGACTAATCACTTAATGCTAGTAAACAACATATCATCTTCTTGTGGGTATTCCATCATTTGTGTTGCATCACTTAGGATGCTGTTCTGATTCCTGGTTTGCTTTAACAGATATGCCCATAATCCTTCTTATCAACTTCTGCAGTGACTATCAATGGTGCCAATTTCTTATTAAATTTAAAATGACAAAAAAAAAAATGGTTTGATTTTTGTTCCCAAAGAAAAATATGAATTTCTACTTGATTTTATAGACTGTGTTCTAGATTTCCAGTTTAATTTTCTAGCAGTTTTGTGGTTAGTGTGATATAGAATCAGTTTCCTTTTGTTTTTGTTGATTCAACAAAAAGTTGTATATTAATTCGGGGAATATTAATAATAGATAGAAGGATATCTGCGTATATCCTTTCAGTGAAAATTTTTAAAAGACCAATGCAGGAGTTTAAGAAATCAACCACTTGTTCGACATTAAGTTTCGAAGTGGAAAGACATCTTATGTCGTTAGACTAGTTATTAGTTTTTTTTTAAAAGGTGCTAGAGTAGTCAGTAGTCATGAAATTTGACAAATCATTCTTTTTAGAATTTGAATCTTGAATGAACAAGGAATTTGATAACAGGTAGATACTAATGGGAAAGGAACCCTAGACTGTGGAGAGTTTGTTGCTGTTTCCCTCCATCTACAAAGAATGGCCAATGATGATCATCTTCACAAGGCTTTTGCTTACTTTGATAAGGATGGTAATGGTTACATTGAACCAGGCGAGCTTCAGGATGCATTGATGGAAGACGGAGCGGATGATTGTACAGCTGTAGCAAATGATATCTTCCAAGAGGTCGACACAGACAAGGTGAAAGACCCAACAGTTTTTCATTAAGCCATTTTCTACCTACATAGTTGGATCTCACTTTACTTTTGTGTGAATACAGGATGGCAAAATCAGCTACGATGAGTTTGCGGCTATGATGAAAACCGGCACGGATTGGAGAAAGGCTTCTCGACATTACTCGAGAGGGAGATTCAACAGTTTGAGTGTAAAGTTGATGAAGGATGGTTCTCTAAACTTGGGGAATGAGTAAGAACTATGCATAGTTTTCATACACATACAAGAAAGTACTAGAATCATTCCCCTTATATATTGGATTTGCTTTCTTTCGTGATTATTTGTGAGATTTTATTTATCAGATCAGCTCCTTATTGATTGCTGGCTTGCAAGGATTGTGGAGAGGTTAGTACATATAATCTCCCTCTTCAAAATGTGAAATTGAGTGAAAAAAACACTACCTTGTAGCCACGGTACACCTTGTATGATTCTGTCCCTCTTACTGTTGCAACCTTCTGCCCTTGTTTCTGGTTGACAATGTGACGTTGAACTCTGTAGTGCTGTCGCATATTCTTGTAGCGGACTTCTGTAAATATATGATACATGCACACACGAGGGAACACATTAGTGCATGCTTTGTCCTCGAGATATTGAGTGGCGTTAAATCTGTGCTTGTGCGGGGAGACAGGGAAAAAAATCAGAGGGGGCATCGGGTTGCAAGTTGGTTTGGCTCTCAACACCAACCAACTAGTCTTGTCATTGACTGTTGAAGAACCAAAATTTAGTTCTATGATGGATCTGTTGTTGTAATTTAGTATAATTTTTATTTATTTTTAATATTTTGTTGTGTTTGGCAATAGTGTCTATATGCATCGGTAAAAGTTAACATGCATGCTTCAAGGGCTTTTTTTTTTTTTTACCAACAAATCTGTGCGTGATTGCGAAATATTGTGTGTTGTGTTTCCAGTTTTACGCATTTTGGTTTGCCCTTGTAACTTTGGAGACTTCTTTTGATTTGTTACTTTCTTGTGTTTTTGTTTGGTTCATGGATTTGTTAAAGGGAAAGGGAAAGGAAAAGAAAATGCAGAGGAAATCATATTCCTCCTTTGAATTGGTCAGTCATTTTTTTTCCCCATCCACGTGATTTTGAACTTATTTTCAAGTTTGGTTCAGTCACTGTTTTGATTTGGAAATCTGAAAATGACTTCAATCCTGAATTGTGTTTTAAAATGATTTCATCGAAAACTAAAATGTGTTAAATTTGATTCTGAGCCACACAGATTTGGTTAAAAAAATCTCTGGAGAGGCTTATCCATCACCTAAATTTTCCAGTCAGTCTAATCAAATTGCATCAGAGAGTTTGAAATTGAGGCACACATACAAGTAGATAATAGTAGATAGATAGTAGATTTATGGTTAGGCAGGACTTGCTTTTCTTGCTTACGTTGCCAGCTAAGGTGAGGTGTTGTGGAACCATCTTGGTTGGAACAAGGCAGCAGTTCGTTATGAATTGCCTGATTTCTTGTTCCTAATTTAAGAAATGTTAGAAATATTAACAAACGTATCAATAAATAATTTAATTGGACGAGGTAGGTTTGGGTGAGAAACGGTCTCCTATTATTATTAAGTTTAATGTTAGATGGATTTCTCGCTAAGTGATGAAATTAACGTGCAAATTGTCACGACAGTTTATATTTGTTAGTATTCTTAGCACAATTACTCTGGCTAGTCTTAAAATACTAGTCAAAATTAAAACTTGTAAAGATTTGTTCAAAAAATCATCTCCCTAAATATATCACTGCCAAATTTGAGAGTTAAAATTTGATACAGCTCTTCCTTCTGTACCGCTCTTATGATTGGACTTTTGCACTTTGATAATGTAACATGTTAAAATATAATTTTAACATCAAACACGAGAGATGCTCTAGAAAGGAAGTTGGATACCAATCCCAAATACAATTTGGCAGAGAAATTTGCTTAGAGAGGAATATAGTATGGATACTTTGACAATAATATGTCGTACTCATATTGGATATTTATCACGTATTGCTACTTTGTATACTTCTACATACGTATTAAATACATGAAGTAGGTATTAAATTATTTCTTCTTAATTTTTATCATACCCTAGATGTACCTAATATATAATATATCCAAGTCTATTGTATCTCAGTTGAAACAACATTTTCTTTTAATACAAAAATAAAATTAATTTCAGTAGGCTTTATTTATTTATTTTAATGCTTAGCATAGTTTTTAAAGTAAAATTATGATTTAATACCGTATCATATCCGTACGCGTGGCTTCATAGACTTACATACTCTGAATTCTTGATGGTAGTAACTTTGTAATCGTCATGGGAGAATGATGCATTGACGATGCAGTGACGACTTGTAGATGCCGATATCTCTCATGTTTTTTTCATTCACATAAATTTACATATTACCTACTTTTGTATACATCTATCCACCCAACTGCTTCTCTGATATATCATTTTCTTGGAAAAAAATGCACTTCTGTGTCTTGTTAGGCGCAGCTCAGCTCAGCTCAGCTGGATCTTCAACCAATATATCTACAACTCCCAAACACCATAGATGGAGTCAAATAGAACCATCTATTTAATGTTCATCATTATCTTCAAATTTAAATTCTTTAATAAGTTTTTAAACTATGTTTGTTTGTTTGTTAATTGTGATGAGCGAAATAACAAACAAAAGAGAGGAACGAGAGAGTGGGAGCGAGAGAGGGGGAACTACTATATACGCTAAAGTGGGCACTACACACTAAACACACACTTCAACATTTCTATAGCAGTACTCACACAACCCATAAAATTGAGATTCGCTTTTATTGTATTTTACGAGTTAACACACTAGCACGCACAATTTTAATATCATACAAATTAACAAATCTCACTTAGTTTACTTGGAGATGCGATAATTGAATTGTCCCTCTACTATGCACTTTCTTGTTAGGACTAATGCCGCTAAAAATGATAAATTTCACTACTTTTTCTTATTTATTTATATGCGAGTTGAGTTATTTTTTATTTTTTGGCCAAAAATTTTCTATTTCTGAATTTTTTTATTTTAATATTTTAAGAAACTCAAAAATGTTGGAGTAGCAAACTTAAAACATGATCCAATAACGATAAAGAAATTTGAAACAATAGATTATGTACCCCTAACATAGTGGATATTCCATTATTACATGTCACATGCATAAGCATCACAAAGAAAAGTTAGTAAAAGATTTATTAATGTGTATAAGAGCAATGTTGAGAACACAAAAATATTTCATAAATTGAAACACAGATGTGAGACAAAAGGGTGGGTCTCACATATGTATCTGACATCATGTGAGACCCATCCTTATCTCACATTTGTATTCTATTATGTAAAATACATATGCATTTCTAGATTTATGAATTATATACCTTTGTCTCTTAACTCAGTGGGACTATTCATGAATTTTAAAAAGAAAGCTCCCTAAGTCGACCTCTCAATTTCTTCAATAATTGGTAGGCAGAAGACAACTACAAAACAAACACCACTTTCTTCCACTACCTTTTTGTATTGTCCTTCATTGAATATGTTTTTGCAATTTGAGGTTGATTAATTATTGACAAAATTGTCATTAAACTTATGCCTCATTAGAAGTGCATGAAATGGATCAACTTCGGGGCACATTCAATGAATTGTATTTAATATGGATAACTTAGCATTTGTCTGCCCTGAAATAATGAAAAAGAAAACCATTGTGGCAAAGAAATGTTTGGACATAATTTAGTCTAATAATACTAAGCCACAAACCTATGTCTACTAAGTCACAAATATGAGGATTTGGATTTAGATAGCATAGCCTTTAATGCCTTCTTCTATTATTGGTCCAACTCAATTCATGTTTGTGAATTCCAAATTTAACTACACCCTTTTCATTGTAATGTCAATTTGGATGGTTTAAATTTGCAAAGGGGTTCAAGACCCACTTACTCAACAAAGCCAATGCCATAGGGACCGCCTTCGTCTCCTTTCAATTCAACCACTCATTTTGACCATCTTGGTCCCATATACTTGGTTATCATATTCAAGTCTGAAACTTCGATGACAATCAAACTCAAAACAAACATGTTTTACACAATTTGGGCCCCATCAATTGGTCAACAGTACCAAGCTTCTTCCCCCAACCCCCCACTTAACAAAAATAATTAACCAATGCCACGGAGCACGAAAAAACTAATTGTAAAAAATAGTCAAAAAATGAGGTATATTAATCAGATTCAGGACGTGAAATTTGAATCTGCACTATACATTTCATTTTTTGATCATTTTTAGGTTACCCTTTTTTCTTTTTCTTTTTTTTTTCAATTCCAAAACTTTTTTCCACAGTAATTACTTAATTAGTAAAAAAAAGAATAATGCCCTAAAAGTAGTTAGAAAGTAAAGTGTATTAAACTAGATTCTCTTGGGATGTAACCCATATCGCACTGAATTTAAATCTATACACCATACGCTTTATTTTGTGAACCATTTTTCTAGTTACTTTTTAAACTCCGTAAATTTTTTCAAAATAAATTCCTAATTAAGTTAAGAAAACATTTCTTCTGATTTGAAGAAAATACAATAAACATGACGTTATCAATTATTTTACATCAAAATGTATATTTTTTTTCTTGTTTATCATTCAACCCCAAGAAATTGTTTGGGGCTTGGAGATTTTGGACCTAATGCCATGGAAAAAACACACCCCAGGCCCTAAGTTTTGACGACCATCTTAGGATTAATTTATCAATAAAAGAAAAGAAAAAAGTAAAGCAAAATATCTCAGTACACCACCACCACTGCAACAACACTAGTAGTGAAGTTCCTTGTAACACTTGTGCACATGTGACCGACAGTGCTGTGCTTGTGCTTGTGATGATCATCATCAACAGTAGACTCTTTAGTCATTTGAATATACCACTTGTTTTTTCAGTAGACATAGAGGAAACACTTTCACATCATCCAAAAGACATTGTAATGAATTACCAATAATATAAAGATGGGTTTTTTGGAGCAAAAGTACTACTACTGCTACTACTCACTTTCATTTCATGTGCAACACAACTTTTGTGTACAATTACAAGACAGCATTGTTGTGTACAATTATAAGACAGCATTGTGAGTTCACACACACACACATTGTTGGGAACCCACTGGCCACTCACTACACTACACTATCAACTTAGTGTTTATTACTCAAAAGCAGAGAATGGTTGGTTGAGAGTGAAAAACAATTGTTGTTTGGTTATTAAAACTAGCAAACTATCTATCAGATTGATTGATATTTAGAATTAAGAGGGTCCTACCCATTTCACATTTTTGATCATATGCCATGCTGATTCAGCAATGTGTTAGTCATGTGTTTGATCCACAATTTTTACAAGAGGTTTGTTTGGTGCAGCTTACTTGGTTACAAGTTAAAAGTTGATAATTAGATCTTATTTCTTAGGGTGTGTTTGGTAACGTTTACGTTTTCAGTTTATATTTACAAAAATTTTATAAACTGATTTTTGTTTATTTTTTGTTTATTTTTAGAAAAACATAAACTACAAACGCGTTTGGTAATTGACAAAATGTTAAAAAATTTAAAAAATATAAAAAATAATGGAAATGGCAAGTGGTGGCGGAAGACGGTGGTGGAAAGTGGTGACGGTGGGTGGTGGGTAGCTGGTGGTGGTGGGTGGTGGCAGGTGGGTGGTGGTGATGGATGGGTGGGTGACGGTGCGCGGGTGGTAGGTGGTAGCGAGTGGTGGTGGCGGTGGCGGTGTGGCTGTTCCAACTAGAGATGATGCTGTAAGGTTTTAACTAGTCGTTGG